AAGGAAGCATCTTGCAGAATCTTTTTACCAGACAAGGTTGCAGGAAGTTGAAGCTATAAAGGAAGAGGTCACTAATATTTTCCACTGAGTCACGTAACAAGTCCAAACACAATTTAAACGTAATTCATAACAAAAATCTCATGCCTTTTGTAAGTTTCTTCCACAGTTTTGTTGTCTCTTATAACCACAGGTTGATAAGAAACAGAAAGGGTTTAGTCTTAATTCACGTGAGAGACTATGGAAGTTTCTGATTGCCTGGGATCATGTGTGCTCAGTGCAGCAGACTGCCTGAATATGAAGGATTAGTCTGGGCTCCTAAACCTGATATGCAATCTGAAAAAGCCATGAGTTACCTTATTAATTATTTTTATATCAAAGCAAATTAATTTTTTTCCCCCTAACACTTACAAGGTCATAAAAGCACACTTGTATTGGTCAGTGTGCACATGTGAGCATGCACATGATTGCCTTTTTCATGCAGCAAAGAATTAGCTGTGTAAAACAAAAAATCAGCATACAGAAGCACATTTGTCAACCATGCAAGCAAAAGGAGAGACACCAGTGAGAAGAAACCCGAAAACTTTACACATTAACTACTGCAGAAGCTTATCTACAATCCCTTGTTGCAAGTGGGGCCTCAGAAAGGATACTCAAATCTCTTGAAGACCAGAGCTATGCAGGCAAATCTCTGTGCTGCTTTAATGTTTTCTGCTCACAAGAAAAGCCTTGTCCTCCAGCAGTACAGCTGAGCTGGGAGCAAATTCAAGGTCATTACTGTATTAGTTGCAAGAGGACCCCTACAACCTCACAGGATCTTGAAGGCTGTGCGTGGAATGCTGCAGTAAGTCCAGAGAAATATCAGTTTATCTTATCTCCCTCTGCGCTAAACAGCCATTCCTCTCCCCCTCAGCCCCTGCGGCTTCTCACACCTCACAGTCCCTGGCATTGGGAATGCCTGGGAGGAGAGGGCAGACCCTCCACACTGCTCACTGTGGACTCTCCCTCGGTGCCACCTGGGGACGTGCTTGGGCTCATGCCCTGTTTCCCTGAAGGCAGCACATCTCAACTGCAAAGAGAAAAACATCTGTGTGGGAAACCAGAAATCATGATGGTAATTAATTACACTGGCTAAATGAAGAAAAACAGGTGGTTACATGGGTGCAATTATTGAAGTCCACTGCATGCTTCAGGAAGAAACTTCTCTCTCTCACCTATGCTCACCATAGAGCTTTCAAGCTGTTAGAGCAATTCTATGTAAATTTCAATAATATCATTAATGTGGCTCATTGTCTCCAAATTCACCACCCCCAGCCATAATAATCACAGAATCACTAAGGTTGCAAAAGACCTGTAAGATCCTCTAGTCCAACCATCAACCCAACGATACCATACCCATTAGACCATGTCCTCAAATGCCATGTCTACATCCTCTCCACTTAAAAACAATGAGGCTGCTGGAGTCCAAACTCCTGCTAAGGAGGACCAGAGGAATCCTGCACCTGGAGAACAGATCCAAGACTTAACCCAACCCAGCTACCTCTTCAGCAAAAGTAACAAAAAGCGCCTGTTTACCCCAGTGGCTGATGATCTTATTTCACTGCGTATCTCCTACCTGATGGGCTTTTTCAATCACTAACCGATTTGAGCTCCAAGTACCATATGGAGAGCAGCTTTCTTCTTACCCAGTCTGGCCGTTGGCATGAAAGCCATGGAGAGCACAAACCAGTGAAGTGGACAGAAAAGGGGAGACTTACGTACTTGCTTAATAGAAGCACTAGCAGCAGCTCTGAAAAAGAAAGGCAAACCCCAAGGGTACCTTTGAGGCATCTCAGGAAATAAAGCCAAATTCCCAGTGGAAATTAAAAGCCGATTTTCCAAAAGCGGCACCCTTTTACGGGAAATTTCATTTCGCTACGGTAAGATGCAAGAAACGAGCGCGTTCCCCCTCCCCTCACACAGCCTATTGTTTTGCAACAAGGAGCACTTTTAATTTTTCTAAAGTAGGCCTCCTGACTATTTCTTAAATAAGAAGAGATGGATGAGGGAGATTTTTTTTTTTTTAAATTCCTTTGAAACATTCCTCCCTTTCAACACTGTCTATTGTTAAATTAATTTGTACAGACCCCAGCAGCTCAGAGGTCAGGATGGTTCAAGTTGATGTTCTAAGCTGTGCACTGTTATGTTAAACAGGGTTTTTCTTGGCTGCAGCTTTGCAGCGAGAAGGTCACCTCGGGGTTATTTGGGGTAGCAAATGTTAGCTGTGGGCAACCGTTCCCAGAGGGCTGAGAATCAGACCAGGGTTTATTTGATGGAAAGCTTAGGCGGCCTGAACAGATAGCAAATGCTCCTTTCGTTTGCTTCATCTCTTAGTCAGCTAATTCGAGG